TTTTTTCCTTCTGCCTCCTGACGCGTCGATCTGAGGACGACCAGACCGCCGTTACTGCGAACCATCCGAATGCGATGATGGAGCCCAGACTTCGGATTCGTTGGCTGATTTGCCTCTAACTTATTTATCAACCGTTACAACTTCTTCAATTAAAAGTTGCAAATCTTTGAATTGCAATTTTGTATATATCCTGACATCATGATGTACAGGTAAACATTGATTACTAACTTCACTCTGTGCCGAAATCAAGGCTCTAGCATTGCATTCGTATAATTTGCGGTAATAATAATAATAATAATAATAATAATAATAATAATAATAATAATAATAATAATAATAATAATAATAATAATAATAATAATAATAATAATAATAATAATAATAATAGGTAATAGGTAATAGTGGTAACTGAGTGCGCACTGCAACGAGTTGCCAATTCACCTTTCACTCGTTGCTGTCCCAAAGGAGTCGTAGAGGCTTGACATGTGTCGTCCGCCGCGGCCATTCGGGCTTGCGAGTTTTCGGGTCCTTGAAAGTTTGTCAGATCAGGCCACTTGGTTTGATTTTTTGGCCGCAGGTGAGAGTTTATAGGTCAAGGCTTTAATTTCTGTTTTTGTTTGTTGACTCAGGTTTAAGTTTAAGGATCAGTCTAGTTATTTTGATTTTGTTTCTTGTTTTTCTTTGCCTTAGATTAGAATTATAGATCAGTCTAGTTATTTTGATTATATATATATATATGTTGTTGTTTTTGCGTTAGATGAGAGTTTATAGATGACTCACTTGTTTTGCTTCAGGTTCTGGTGACGTCGACGAGGTTGGCCAAACTTTGGGTCTTATAAAGTGAAAACTTATGGGTGGATACCGTAGACTTTATCTGAATAAATTCGTGTATCTTACATAATTTTTGTTTACTGTTTTAATTACTTCCGGCGTCCTTATAATTGTTGTTGATACTAATCACCATCTCCCTAGATTATTAATACCATCATTAGCTTAATGATGAAATATGAAACTCTGGGCAAGATGTTCTCAGAGGCCTCATTAACCAGCGGTGAAGGAGGAAATTGTCCGCATATTTGAAGTTCTCCTTCAGTGCCACTTTATTAGTTGTCCACTAATGAGGTGGTTATGAGTGCCTCTAAATCCTCATCATTTCTAACGACAAACTGCTTCTTTCGCTCAACAGGTTCGGCCGCGACGCTGGATCTCGGCTTCAACATTCCTCCGCCAATCAAAACCGTGACTGTCGAAGGGTCACGCCTCCTCATACCCTGTGAGCCAATCAGAGGCGAGAAGGGCTTGCCCAACGTCACCTGGACCAATGAGGAGAGCCTAGTGAACGAGCCCCGCCGCCACGTCTTGACCAATGGGACGCTTCTTATCACAGAGGTTAGTTTTTAAAATCGTCCGAATGGGAAGGGGACATGCGGATGAATAGAGAGTAAGCGAAGTCGAAGTCAGTGACAATCCGAATCTGTAGAAATCGAAGCCAAAGCCATTGATATTACATCCAAACATCGGCTTATTGGAAAAAGATGGCGTGATATTTTCTTTTTTCACAAAACTTTGAATCCTTTTTTATCTTAATCATTAATTTAACACACAAACTTTTTTTCTTGTTTAGCTTAAAATACAATCGCCTCAAGTCATTTCGATTAATGATGCTTCTCAGACTAAATTTCTCCATATTTTGTATCTGCTATTCCTCTTCTTTTAATGTACCTCTGTCAATCGCTATCTCTATTTCTTTATTCATTTATTCTCTCTCTCTCTCTCTCTCTCTCTCTCTCTCTCTCTCTCTCTCTCTCTCTCTCTCTTCTCTCTCTCTCTCTCTCTCCTCTCTCTCTCTCTCTCTCTCTCTCTCTCACTCTCTCTCTCTCTCTCTCTCTCTCTCTCTCTCTCTCTCTCTCTTCTCTCTCTCTCTCTCTCTCTCTCTCTCTCTCTCTCCTGTTTCTCTGTCTCTCTCTCTTTCTCTCTCTCTCTTCTATCTATCTATCTATCTATTTATCTATATCTCTCTCTCTTCTCTCTCTCTCTCGCTTTCTCTATCTATCTATCCTATCTATCTATATCTCTCTCTCTCTGTTTTGTCTGTCTGCCTCTCTCATTCTCTCTTTCTCTCTCTGTCTGTCTCTGTCTTTTTCTGTGCGTCTGTCTGTCTGCTTCTCTCTCTCTCGTCTCTCTCTCTCTCTCTCTCTCTCTCTCTCTCTCTCTCTCTCTCTCCTCTCTCTCTCTCTCTCTCTCTCTCTTCTCTCCTCTTCTCTCCCTCTCCCTCTCCCTCTCCCTCTCCCTCTCCCTCCTCCCCCTCCCTCTCCCTCTTCCCCGCTCTTCCTCCAATAACCTCGAATGAACCCAGACCGACCCACGTTGACCCCTCGTGACCTCAGCTGACCTTTCGCTGCCCGCCAGGTGAGAGCCAGTGACGCGGGCCAATACAGGTGTGTGCTGAGGCAGGGGACCCGCGCCGTGCTCTCCGCTCCCGCCGGACTCGTCCTCGCAG